GATTCGCATGTATGTTGCTAAAGGAACAACTCCATGTTTTCTAAAAGGCCTAGAGAACATATATCGGGTGCCTCTCCCCTTTCCCTTTGTGTTCGCCATTTTGGTTCATTACTGGAAGATGGCGGTTCCGGCCAAAAGCTTGCACTCCATCTTGAAGGATCAGTTAGTAGGCGTAGAATTACCAGTCGCTGCTCACTTTCTTCGAGTCCTTTGGAAATACCGTTTTCCCGCGTTTTGCTCTTGGAGAAGCTGGGCCTGTCAGGCGAGATGTAGGTCGTCCATCGCTAGCTTCTGCTTGTTGTCTGGTGTCTGCGTAGCTGGGGTATCTGCGTGTCCATGTGCCATGTCTAGGTGTGAACGGCTTTTTATAGCCGCCTCAAGCCTCAGTACTCTTTCTCGGTCTGAGGATTCGCGTCCTTCGCTAACTCCGGAGAAGTTTCAAGCTCGCCGCAGCCACTGGCTTTTCACGCTGTACTTTAACTGCAGGATGCCTTGGAACATACCTTGGGCCTTCTCGGTCAGTCTCCCAGGCCTCCGACGGGCGGTCTCGTGGGTTCAGATTCCTCATCTTGCAGGCCGAGCTTCAGAACATCGCTTCCTGTTCGGATTCCGCCCAGCTCTCTAACCCTAGCGTGGGCTTCCAGACTTCAGGCTACTTTTCCCTTCGACACCACCATTGCCAGATGTCCCTTGAGAAAGGAAGCAAAACCACTTCACTCGACCTTGCAGTTAAAGACAATCAATCCGCCAGGCAAGTGGATGCTATCGATCTAGAGCCTGTGCCGTTTCATTCTTTTAAGTAGTGTCCCTCAAAGATCTTCCGAACACGCCATGGCATCTATGACCCCGAGTCATTGGCTACATCTCAACGAGAAACAAGTTTGCCCCTCAAAGGCCACTGGGAAATGTCTGAGCTTTTCTGGTTTTTTTTAAGAATTATCTTATTTAACTTTATTTACCCATTTATTTATTTATTTTAATTTGACCAGAGAGGGACAGAGAGAGAGAGAGAAAGTGAAAAAGCAAGCCACCAGGTCCAGGACTTGAACCACAGTTGGCCTTAACTACCACGCCACCTGTTGGCCCTTTGTCTGAGCATTTTTAGTTGTCACAACCAAGAAGAGAGAGGAGTGCCACTGGCCACTAGGGGTGGAAGCCACGATGCTGCTTAGCATGCTCCAAGGCACAGCTCATGCCCAGTGTCCCCGGCCCCAGAGACCCCAGCCCGGATGTCAGCAGTGCCAACGTCGACGGCATTGCTCTAACCTAAGTGGTCATAATGTCTTTTTTTTTTGCTATATGGTGCAGGCACTCGCCAGACAGACAGAGACAGAGAGACAGAAAATGAGAAATCACCCCCCAGGGGGGATGGCCACGCTGCAATCCCTTCTCCTCCATTCTCCTCTCGGGATCTTGGGCACGCACGCACACGCGCCCGCGTGAGTTTAAGCCACCAGGTCCGGGACTCAAGCCGCGGTCGACTACGTGGGAGTCCAGCGACATAGCCATTACGCTAACTGCTGGTCCCTGACCATAATGTCTTAAAGATCTCGAGGTGGTTCTGTATGTGTGCCAGCGCGCTTACTTCTACTGTCATTCAGCTGGGGCCGGCCGTTTCTCGATGCGCGCCTGCAGCATGCGAGTTCTCCTCCCCGCCTTTGGTTTCCCGCTACGTCCGCGGGAAAGGGGCAGTGCCCGCAGGTGTCAGGAAGTGGAGGGAGTCCATGCACAGAATGGAGTGGCGGGGACAGCGTAAGCTTCAGACTCACCCTGGAAAACCAAATTACGTGTGTTTTATTTTAAAGGAGTAGACAGGATCGGAGGAGATTTCTGCAAGAAAACAGAGGGAAAAGCCCTCCAACTCAGATCTTCGGTTTTGAATTTTTGGCCTCCATCATGGGTTTCACTTGGTTCAGCTTCACCAAATAATCTGTCTGGTAGAGGAAGATGCCGGCACTCATGAGGGACATGGAGCCGGTCAGGATCCCTAGCGGTAGCACGTAGGAGAGGTGCTTCTTTTTCAGGACGTCTTTATCGATAGGAAAGCTGAGCGGGAACTCCAGGGTGGTTTCCCCGTGGAAATCCACGATGACGTTCCAGCTCACTGTGCCCACCGTACAGCCAGAGCCGAGGCAGAGGAAGAAGGCGGAGAGATTGTAGCACGTGCGGAGGAAATGCGGGTACGGGGCGCGGACCCAGGTGACCAGGATGGCCAGTGAGCTGCAAACCAGGACGACCGACTTGAGTAAATTGGCCAGCAGCATCAGGTCCTGCCCGTACCTGATCTCGTCGGGGATGACCCAGCTCTCGTTGATGGAACTCTGCACCGGCAGCTCGACCGCTGAGCCGGAGATGTTGAACTTCTGAAAATAGAAAGCTTCCCAGAGGCCGAGGAACATGACGGGAACAGTCTCACTGTGAAACTCCCACACACGCCAGGACCTGCTGTTGGCTAAGCCTATGCCGAAGGTCCAGGTCAGAAAACTGAAAAAGACGCCAACCAGTTTGAAGAAAAAGTGCGTCACTTCCGATGAGCTGCAGACGAGGGAGGGGAGTCATGAAGGCAGGCCGGGCCGCCACAGGGGGAAAAGAAAAGAGATTGCTGAGCCACAGTTGAAAGAGTGCCGTCCTCCTAGTCTGAAGTGATGTGTACGTGTTCTGCATACGTAATTAGTGCTCTAAATATGTTCGCTAAGGACCAGGAAGCCTGGAAGTGTGCCCACAGTAAGAATATCAGTTTGTAAGGCGTATTTGGAGCACGATTTGCTGTCTTTCGAGATGTTCCTACTGCTTCTCCAGCAACTCTGATTCCAGGAATCAATGTGATTTATAAGTTATTTATAAGAGTATTACATATATACATACATATGTGGAAAGAGAGAGAGAGAGAAAGAGATGTTAGTTTTAGCACTATTTGTGATAGAAAAACGTTGAAAATAAATGTCTGTAAATAGAGGAATGCTGGGAACCAGCAGTTAGCGTAATGGCTATGTCGCTGGACTCCCACATAGTCGACCACGGTTCACGTCCCGGACCCGGTGGCTTAAAACTCACGCCGGGTGCGTGTGCGTGAGTGCCCAAGATCCCGAGAGGAGAATGGAGGAGAAGGGACTGCGGCGTGACCATCCCCCCTGGGGGGTGATTTCTCGCTTTCTATCTCTCTCTCTCTTTCTGTCTTTCTAGTAAGCGCACGCACCTGGTGGCTTGCTTTCTCGCTTTCACTCTCTCTCTCTCAGTCTCTCTCTGGTCAAATTAAAATAAATAAATAAAATAAGTAAATAAATAAGAAACAAATCCTAAAAAAAAATACTCCTAGGACGAACCCCTCTGTTATTTTGCACAAAGGAATGAAACAGGGTCTACTCAGGTGCCCGGTGTGTGGATAATGTAGGCAGCTGGCCCTCAAAAGACGTTTGGGCCTCCAGGCGGTCTCCTTGATCTGATCTAATTATGTCATCACTCGTTGGGAAGTCCCGTTAGCGAAGATGGGCTTGCAGTGACCGCCAGGCTGACTAATTTGGCCTCCATCATGGGTTTCACTTGGTTCAGCTTCACCAAATAATCTGTCTGGTAGAGGAAGATGCCGGCACTCATGAGGGACATGGAGCCGGTCAGGATCCCTAGCGGTAGCACGTAGGAGAGGTGCTTCTTTTTCAGGACGTCTTTATCGATAGGAAAGCTGAGCGGGAACTCCAGGGTGGTTTCCCCGTGGAAATCCACGATGACGTTCCAGCTCACTGTGCCCACCGTACAGCCAGAGCCGAGGCAGAGGAAGAAGGCGGAGAGATTGTAGCACGTGCGGAGGAAATGCGGGTACGGGGCGCGGACCCAGGTGACCAGGATGGCCAGTGAGCTGCAAACCAGGACGACCGACTTGAGTAAATTGGCCAGCAGCATCAGGTCCTGCCCGTACCTGATCTCGTCGGGGATGACCCAGCTCTCGTTGATGGAACTCTGCACCGGCAGCTCGACCGCTGAGCCGGAGATGTTGAACTTCTGAAAATAGAAAGCTTCCCAGAGGCCGAGGAACATGACGGGAACAGTCTCACTGTGAAACTCCCACACACGCCAGGACCTGCTGTTGGCTAAGCCTATGCCGAAGGTCCAGGTCAGAAAACTGAAAAAGACGCCAACCAGTTTGAAGAAAAAGTGCGTCACTTCCGATGAGCTGCAGACGAGGGAGGGGAGTCATGAAGGCAGGCCGGGCCGCCACAGGGGGAAAAGAAAAGAGATTGCTGAGCCACAGTTGAAAGAGTGCCGTCCTCCTAGTCTGAAGTGATGTGTACGTGTTCTGCATACGTAATTAGTGCTCTAAATATGTTCGCTAAGGACCAGGAAGCCTGGAAGTGTGCCCACAGTAAGAATATCAGTTTGTAAGGCGTATTTGGAGCACGATTTGCTGTCTTTCGAGATGTTCCTACTGCTTCTCCAGCAACTCTGATTCCAGGAATCAATGTGATTTATAAGTTATTTATAAGAGTATTACATATATACATACATATGTGGAAAGAGAGAGAGAGAGAAAGAGATGTTAGTTTTAGCACTATTTGTGATAGAAAAACGTTGAAAATAAATGTCTGTAAATAGAGGAATGCTGGGAACCAGCAGTTAGCGTAATGGCTATGTCGCTGGACTCCCACATAGTCGACCACGGTTCACGTCCCGGACCCGGTGGCTTAAAACTCACGCCGGGTGCGTGTGCGTGAGTGCCCAAGATCCCGAGAGGAGAATGGAGGAGAAGGGACTGCGGCGTGACCATCCCCCCTGGGGGGTGATTTCTCGCTTTCTATCTCTCTCTCTCTTTCTGTCTTTCTAGTAAGCGCACGCACCTGGTGGCTTGCTTTCTCGCTTTCACTCTCTCTCTCTCAGTCTCTCTCTGGTCAAATTAAAATAAATAAATAAAATAAGTAAATAAATAAGAAACAAATCCTAAAAAAAAATACTCCTAGGACGAACCCCTCTGTTATTTTGCACAAAGGAATGAAACAGGGTCTACTCAGGTGCCCGGTGTGTGGATAATGTAGACAGCTGGCTCTCAAAAGACGTTTGGGCCTCCAGGCGGTCTCCTTGATCTGATCTAATTATGTCATCACTCGTTGGGAAGTCCCGTTAGCGAAGATGGGCTTGCAGTGACCGCCAGGCTGACTAACTCCTTGTTCCTGAGCGCTTTCTTGTCAGGGGAGGTCGGCAGGAATAGACCTCAGGATCAATGAGCTTTGCTGAAGAGAGGGACTCAGGAAGGCGAAAATGCTCTAGGTCTGGGGAGCTCTGTCATGACCAATGTCATGGTCATGTCACACCAGTTGGGTGTGGTGGGGACTCTCTTTTTCTTTTTCTTTCTTTCTTTTTTTTTTTTTTTTTGAGAGGTTTTTGCTATAGGGTGCGTGCAC